TACTGACCCTTACCTCTGGATATTAAGCCCATTATTATTTATTATACCTAAGCTTCTATTGCCTGGTAATGTTGAATCCTGAATTTGCTGTGTTTCAGGTCCTGTTTGCTGCAGGATTATGGCATTTCTTTTTCTTTGCTGTATTGATCTTTCTTGGGCCATTTTATTTAAAAAACTTGATCTCTGCTGTTGTTGTCACCTCATACGAAGTCGAGACTATGTCCATTAATGAAGAGGTATGTTGCAGATGATTTGTTGAGCGGACTTACCAACGAAAGGGTCAGGAAGGGTAGTAGAGGGAAATAAGGTATGGTAAGGTATGTATGGTATGGTGTTGTATTGGGCATTGGATGTTATATGTGTGTATGGTATGATGTGATGTGATATGGTATGGTATGGTATGGTATGGTATGGTATGATATGATATGATATGATATGATATGGTATGGTATGGTATGGTATGGTATGGTATGGTATGGTATGGTAGACGGCAATATGTACAAAAAAATTCCAAAAATCAAACTCACAAACTATTTTTTCCCAAGGACGCCAAGAATGGAGAACTCCTAGCCACGGCGTTCTCGGCTTTCACCTTGCCTGGAAACTCAAACAGAATAAGCACCAAGATACAGAAAGATACGAACTGTAATGTTGACGAGTATGATAGGCGGAAAAGTTATGGAGAGTACGACAGACGAAAGAGTTATGGGGAGTACGATAGGCGAAAGAGTTATGAAGAATATGATAGGCGAAAAAGTTATGAAGAATATGATAGGCGAAAGAGTTATGAAGTACCTTTAGATAGTCAATCTGATATTTACCAGCTGCGAGAGTTGGAGCACAGGGCGCCCAATCAAGATGAAATATCGAATTCGCAAACGTCTAAAGATGTCGCTTCTCTTCGTAAGGAATTATATCGCTTAGTGAGCAGTCGAGAACTGGAGGTTTTTATAACGTTCTGTATTGTGGCAAATACTGTTGTCATGGCGACTGAACACTATGGCATGTCGTCCACGTTAGATACTGTTATCTCAGTGTCAAATTACGTGAGTAGTTTATATAGACTAAACTAACTTTATTTATACTGGATAACTCTGTCAGTTCTAAACTGTTCCCATGTAACTACAGGAGGAAACTAAACTAACTTTATTTAGCTCTATCTGTTCTAAACTGTTCTTCCTGGAGGTCCAGTACTGATCATTTCGTATTGGTCCTGTGCAGTGCTACTACTTGGGGAAACCTAAACTAACTTTATACTGGATAGCTCTGTCAGTTCTAAACTGTTCCCATGTAACTACAGGAGGAAACCTAAACTAACTTTATTTAGCTCTATCTGTTCTAAACTGTTCTTCCTGGAGGTCCAGTACTGATCATTTCGTATTGGTTTTGTGCAGTGCTACTACTTGGGGAAACCTAAACTAACTTTATTTATACTGCCGCGGATAGCTCTATCAGTTCGAAACTGTTCTCCCCAGAGATCCAGTAAGGATCATCTTGTATTGGTCTAGTGCCACTACTGGAGTAAATCAGAGTGCCCGACGAAAACCTGCGGTGTTTAATAAAGTCAAACTGCAAGCACTCTTCTCGCATGCGGCGAAAATATAGTGAGGCAACTGCATATTACAGGAATCAAACATTGGTCACAGAGGTAAGGGCACATGCACTGACCATTATACCACCAACACTGGACATTGGGGTAACACGAGCAACAAATTACTGCAACACATGAAACCAAGCTCAAATAATTTTCATTTAGTCATTTCCTGAAAGTTTGTTTCTATTTCTTGTAGCTATTTACTGGCATATTTTTCGCTGAAGTTGTTGTCAAGTTGGTAGCATTTGGTGGGAAAGTTTTCTTCCATAATGCTTGGTGTGTCTTTGACTTTATTGTGGTGGTGATAAGTCTGGTCGATATTGGGCTTGAGTTGAGTCGAACGACTGGACTTGGTTTACGCGTGCTCAGGACATTTAGATTGGTTAGTAGTGAAGAAATTATTTTGATTTATTTTGTTTTGTTTTTCTCTTTTAATATTATATGTTCTGTTGTTTTTTCTGATGTTCTGTTCTATCTTATTCTATTCTGTTTTGTATAGCCACAAACCGTGGCTATAAGGTATGCCGAAAACAGGCGTACTTTATAGCCACTTTATAGTTTGTTCTGTACTGTATTGTTCTTTACTGTACTGTACTGTACTGTACTGTACTGTACTGTACTGTACTGTACTGTACTGTACTGTTCCTGTACTGTTCCTGTACTGTTCCTGTACTGTTCCTGTACTGTTCCTGTACTGTTCCTGTACTGTTCCTGTACTGTACTGTACTGTTCCTGTACTGTACTGTACTGTTCCTGTTCTGTACTGTACTGTACTGTACTGTACTGTACTGTACTGTACTGTACTGTACTGTACTGTACTGTACTGTACTGTACTGTACTGTACTGTACTGTACTGTACTGTACTGTACTGTTACTGTACTGTTACTGTTACTGTTACTGTTACTGTGTAACTGTGTAACTGTGTAACTGTGTAACTGTGTAACTGTGTAACTGTGTAACTGTGTAACTGTGTAACTGTGTAACTGTGTAACTGTGTAACTGTGTAACTGTGTAACTGTGTAACTGTGTAACTGTGTAACTGTGTAACGGTGTAACTGTGTAACTGTGTAACTGTGTAACTGTGTAACTGTGTAAC